CTACCAAGCACTTTATTACGACGTTTTTGACACTACGATACACGTCCGGCTAAATCTCCATCCATTCTGCAATCCGCCTTCGCGTTAAACATAGTAATAACTGATGAATTATTACCCATTATAGGCATATTATTGAATATATGTGAAGAAATTATACATTGCATGTTAAAATCGATTAAAACAATGTATAATTGGCTTAAAACAATTTGGATATTCCGATTATAAAGTCCTACAACACTATCGGTTAGACCATAAAGAACGATGGCCATTTAATTCAGACTAGCCTCATCATGTTTCAGGGGAAAATGATTCGTGGTATTAAAATAATACTTTACTGGTATTAAAACAATCAATTGGTTACCTAACCGTCTTTTTATTGGTATTTTCATGCCTAAAAGACAACACAAGATAAAAGTGATCCGGAAGTCGTAGGTTTTATTATGGAAAAAGTGTATGTGTATCCGTATCCGTCTCTGATTTTTTTTTTTTTTTTTTTTTTTTAATCAATAGAGTCCATTATTTAAATGTTTTTTTTTTTTTTAATCAATAGAGTCCATTATTTAAATGTTGGGTACGATTCATTTGTGTAGTGCCATGCGACGTGCGAAGAGTTTGCTGTTTCCATAGACACTAAAATTGAAATCTAAAAATAGCTTGTTTATGACTTGGAAATAAACTCATCAGGTGTCAAAAATATTTATTGGATAATTTTGTTATTGTTAAACCGGTGTTATAAGGTGTTACACACATGTAACGTTTCAGATGCACTTCGGCTATCCCTTCTCAAGCATTGAATTTTAATGCTGGTCAACACCGCTACGTGCAGAGTCTTTGTGGTGTGTGTTACGCCCTCAATTGGTGGGTGAGTTTTCTTGGTCTTTGAACCGGCACCCCGTTACTGATAGTCTTGGACCAATGTTCAGGACAGGACCGGAGAAAACATAATTAAAAGAACATGAATTAGATGCGGAAAAACATGCAATGTATCCGCACTAAAACAGCTAGTCTCTACAAACAGTAAATCTTAAGACAAGTAAATGAAAGGAATTGGATCCGTATAACAATTCACAAGTTATAAACTCGCCTACCAATCACCAAACCGCGTATATAGCGGTGTTGACCAGCATTATGGTTTAATGTTTGAGAAAGGAGAGCCAAATGGCATCTGGAACTTAATGGACAGGAATGTAACTTGTAAGGGTGGTGCCAGTGCGGGGGGGGGGGCGATGGGTCAGGGCCTTCCGTCGGGGAGAGCTGACCCCCCCCCCCTCCAGAAAATCCTCGGGGACCTAGGACCCTTCCCCGTCGAGAAAATCCTGGCGCCATCCCCGGTAACAACATATTATATGTTAAGATGTGATGTAATGTGCGTCATAGTATTACTTGTACTACATTTTTTTTTATTTAGGAAGTGCTTAACTGATAAAACACAGATCAAATTTCATATCACCAATTTTAATCGTGACTTGACATTTTATGGTATGACGTGCACGACAACAACATGTGAGCCTTGTGCTCCCGGTTTTTACGGGAAACTATCGGGAATAGGCTGCAACCCTTGTCCACAAGGTATTAACATTTTTTTATATCTACATTGGCAACATGCTAAAATTAATGTATATATATA